TTAGTGTCAGTGGAGGTATGTATATTTTGGAAGTTATCATTTTCCTAAACTGAAATGTATTTCCAAACATACTTACCTCTGCTGACACTCTCCCTCCCTTTCTCCCCACTAAAAGCTGGTGTTAGTGACCAGAATGTGGTAAGTCTCAAAAAAGTGATTTTATTGTCAACATACAGTGCTTATATACAGTACTTGTTTAGAGGGCATGTGAGGGCTGGCGTAAAGTTTTGCAAATTAGATATTGTTGAGGGCAGTCGAGTGGGGTATATAAAGACGAGCAAGTGAACACGATGTTAGATGGCAAAGATGAAGATCAAGAAATAGTTATTAGTGTCAGCAGAGGTAAGTATGTTTGGAAATACATTTTCAGTTTAGGAAAATGATAACCTGGAGAAATGATATCTTGTGGCATCTAAAGTATAGGCTATGATTTAGCAGTTCATTCTTATCTGTCAGTTTTTTGAGTGTTTGCTGATTGTCTAAAATTTATTAAGTATTGCAGTAGTAAAACCAACTTATGCAAATGCTATGAATCATGATTTAGCAGCCCATTCCAACCTGTTATCTTTGGGTATTGGTAGTGCTTCATTTAATTTTTTTTTCTTTTTTTACATTATTACTTGGAGTAGGAAAACCTACTTATATCTATGCTATACATCACGATTGGGGACCACTCTTACCTATCAACTTTTTTGAGTGTTGGTAGTTCCTCATTTAAACTTTCCTTCTTATACTTCATTACTTATATCTTCTGCTATGTTGTGAGCTTCAGGATTAATTTATCCCATTGTTTATGTGAATGCATTGTTTTCCTCATTTTACTATGACTGCATTTTGTGTATGTTTGGAGAGATTCCCAGTTACTTCACTTGTTTTTCTCTTGCTGGTTATCATTTTGTGTATGTTTGAAAAGATTCTTCGTCACTTACTTGCTTTCCTCTTGCTGGTTATAATTTTGTGTATGTTTGAAAAGATTCTCAGTCACTTATTTGTTTTTCTCTTGCTGGTTATCATTTTGTGTATGTTTGAAATGATTCTCAGTCACTTATTTGTTTTTCTCTTGCTGTTATCATTTTGTGTATGTTTGAAATGATTCTCAGTCATGTACTTGTTTTTTTTTCTTGCAGGTTATCATTCTTTAATAGTGGTTGGTGTTAAATTTAATCAAAACCAGAGTGTTTCATAATTATTGCTGAAGTTAATCAAAAGTAATGTATTTTGAAACACTAATAAAAATAAATTAAAATTTGTGCTTGTTTAGCACAGTAGCTTACAATACTTTCAGAAAATTAGGTAATTGATCTTCTTGATAGCTTTTTTTTTATTAGCAAGTCATTTTATCAGGCAGCATGGTAGCAATGGCTATGTAGGGATGAGTCCGATTCTCGTTTTTCTTTCTTCCTTTCCGTCAGCTGTAACTCATAAACCACAGTATGCCTACTTCCAGCCTGTACACTAAAACATTTTGCTAATCCCTAAGATGTGCCTTTTAAATCTAGTCCCAAGTGATCCACTATAGGTTAGTTACAAGCCAAAATATATGAAATGATACGGATTATTTAATGTTGCCCAATATGCATATCAATCAATAGATGGCGCCACCTGTAATACAATTCATAAAAAAAGGGGGGGGGTCCAGAAACTAGCAATAAGAAAATTTATTCTAAAATTATTGGTATATAGGAATGGAAGAAGATCAGATACTAGAGAGCATTTGGAATGGGAGGAAAATATACAATACCTATTCCTACATTCAACCACTCACAGGGTGGATGCATATAAAAGTTAGGTGGGAGAATGCAGGAATGGGTGATACAGATTTTCTTCCCATTCCAAATACTCACTAGTATCTGATCTTCCATTTTTACATCCCAACAATTTTAGAATAAGTTTTTTATTGCTAGTTAGGTAATAAAGAGAATGAATTCAAAGTCATAATCCACTTGGTAATTAAATACAGCTCTAAGGTCCCTATTTTTAATATTTTAAACTTTTTTTAAATAACCTTAACTAGGCAAACTTTTTGTCACTACATACGCCCATCACATGTTAAAGATACTACTTTGTTGTGTTTGTAAGGATCTCAAATGAGATTTTACCCAAATCAGTCAATTTAATTAACACAAACAAAGTAAAAATTGAATTAAAAATTATCAGATTGTTAGAGCTAAAACGTTCCTTAGAAAAAAGGGGGAGGCTATTTTATACTACACTCTTTCAATTATTCTTAATTTAATTTTCATTTATCTCGTACTTGTATGTATTTTGGGATACAACATATTTAAACCATGCTAAATATTTTTGTCTTTTAGACTGGCAAAAGGAATGTTTATCTTTACCTGCAGTTAAAAAGAGGAAGAACTTGATTTACTCTTTACCAACCAGTGGAGGAAAGACTTTAGTTGCAGAAATTCTGCTCTTCAGAGAGATGATCTGTCACAATAGAAATGGGATTTTTATTCTTCCTTATGTATCTATTGTTCAGGAAAAGGCAAGATATTAGAATTTGTATTATATGAAATACTAGGTGGAGTACCCATCTTGTTTGTAACAAAGGATAGGAAATTGTACTTCTGTTTTTTTTTAACACAATAAACATTAAAAGTACAATAAAAATACATAAGTGCCAGTACTGAAAAGAAAGACATGCTGCTTTTAAGAATTATAATAATTTGAAATTAGGTGGGGGATTGGTCCCCCCCTCATAACCTTGCTCGTGTCATCCTGTATCACTGTGTCAAGTTTGGTGCTGATTGATCAAGAAATGTGGAAACATAAGGAACACACGCACACATATTGACATTTATTTATGTAGATGTTATAGAAGATAGTTCACTACACTGATATTGTTCTCATGCTTGTATGTGAGTGATCATAACAATCAAATCACTTCTACAGTAACTCAGACAACATTAATTTGTATAACTAATTATCAGGGTGCACACGCATCCTTGAAAGCCCTTGATATTAAGAATAGAATTTCAAGGTCTTGAAAGTGCTTGAAAAGGGGCCTTTTTTGCAAAAGTACTAGAAAATATTATAATAGCAGAATATATCGATATATCTAACTTCGATGCATGTTGAGAACAATAAATAGTCTACATTCATATGTTGAACAAATAGGATCTTATAAATTTTCAGTGGAATCCATTTGATTTTGATATAGATTTTAGCTTAAAAAGGTGCTTAAAAAACATTCTGAGAGTGCTTGAAATTGAGCTGAGCAATTCAGTATGAACCATGAATTATGATTTATATTGTAGAAGATTTCATCTTAGTATGGATTACATAAAAATCTAGAATTAATCTTAGATTCTATATATATATAAATCTTTTTGCATTTTTAATCTTGTTTGTAGCAAAATCTCCATGAAACTTTTTTCAGGTTTTTATGTTGTCTACATTCTGAAAGTAAATACAGTAAATAGAATTTAGTTGGTTATTCAGCATTTACAACTGGTTAAAATTTTAGCAGATTTTTAATTTCATAGTTATTAGATTATTTTTTTCATTGCCATCACAAAACTTAGAAAAACAATTAAATTGAGTCCAAATTTCTTCAAGCCTTTTTGCAAATAGATTGACCTTAAAAGAGATTTATTTTTTAGTCATCAGATGAGAAGGGAAAATTCCAAGTTTGAAAATGATGAACACTGAATTAAATGTTATAATTATTAATATCAGACATGGTGTTTAACATTTTTGTGTTATTACTAGCTGATTAAGAATATAGAGTTATTACAGTTTCAATAACATATCTATACTAAGGAAAGTCCTGTGTGTGATTGTGGAATCTCTTGGCTTTTTAAGATAAAATGTACTTAGCAAAATAACTGGTAGTTTATTCAAACCATCAAGTGTCTTATATTTCTGTGATTTCTCCTATTTTTATATGTAAAAATGTAAAGAAGGAAGTTAAAGCTGAAGTTTGTAGTCACTTAGTGAAGATTTTCTTTGTAATAATTTGAACACAACAACAGACTGCAACATTTTCAGGTTATCATAAATACAAAACCCAAAACAAATTTTTACTTTGTAATACATTATTGTATAAGCTGTAATTTGATAATAATGTATCTTTTGGGATGAAAAATTACTGTGTTACATTACTGTAATTTTATTATATTTTGACTGAGCTTTCTATAAAAACATGTAATTTATATTTTCTTAACTAGAAAAAAGTACACCTATCATTGACTTATTCATGAGTGATGTGTTGTGTGTGTTACTCTCTCAACTCTGTCAAGTATACACTTGAAGTAGATATATTGTGTTTTGAAGACCTCTTCATTGAAATCAAAGTATTATTTTATATTGAGGGAGTAATTTTTTTTATTCCTATTCAAGTAGTGTGTCTTGTTTCCTTTTGTAGTAACACTGTATGTATAATTAATTGCTGGTTTAAACTGCATCCTAGGTACGAGCTCTGTCTAACTTTGCTGTGGATCTTGATTTTGTGATTGAAGAATATGCTGCTAGCAAGGGTCAGTATCCTCCTCGTAAGAGACGAAAAAGACGTTCTGTGTTTGTTGCTACCATTGAAAAGGCTCACTCATTAGTGAATTCTTTGATTGAAAATAAAAGAATAGAAGAGATAGGCTTAGTTGTTGTAGATGAAGTAAGTGGTAGCTTCTATTCTATAACATTTCATAATCAATTTCTTGTATTATTCATGTATACCTGTAGGACAAACAGGATTCTAGGTTGTATCTGCAGAAATATTGAATACAAGTCTAAAGAGGTTATAATTTCATTGTATAGGTCACTGGTTAGGCCACATTTAGAATATTGTGTTCAGTTTTTGGCTCCTTACCTTAGGAAAGACATTCAATTGTTGGAAAGGGTTTGGAGAGAGATTACTAGAATGGTGCCTGGGATGGAGAGGTTGTCATATGAGGAGAGGCTGAAATCAGTCAAATTGTTTTTCTTTTACAAAATGAAGAGGTTAGGGGGGGGGATCTGATTGAGGTGTTTGAGATTGTAAAGGGAATTGATAGTGTTGATGCATCATCTTTTTTATATTTAACAATGACAATAGTAGGACTAGGGGACACAAAATAGATTTTTGGCAAGGAAGGAGTCATCTTCAGCTAAGACAGTTTTATTTTTCTAACAGGGTGGTTGGCCTTTGGAATGGGTTGCCTTCATATGTTGTAGAGGCAGTAAATTTAAGTGAGTTTAAAAAAAGCTTGATAAGTATTTGAATGATAAGGGTGGCTTTAAGATTTTTTTTATTTAATAATTGTAATTTAGTTTAGAGAATGGAACAGCTAAGATGGACCAGTAGCTCCCATGTTGTCCCAAAACTTTATGTTAATTGTAAATTAGTGTTTGCTATAATTTTATTGTAAGTCTTATTATGAAGTAATGTCACATAAAATGCCAATCAATAGATTATGCCTTGCCAGCATAAGTGTAGTTTCCTTGCTTTTGAACACTTCTGTACTAACAGAGCTAAGCTAAGATGATTTTTAGAGCTAATGGACATCTAGATAATTTCATCACACAAAAACCCTCTCCCACGAGGAAACCAAACCACGTGCTTGGATAACAATTTGTTTCCAATATTTCCATTTCATATTTGTTTTGAATCTGGAAGGACAATACAAAACTGGAGTCATTCATGAAGCTATACCTGTAAAGACTCGGATTTAACTTAAATTGACTGACAACAAAACCGGTGTTTAAATATATAGTCAGTTTGATGAAAAGCAATGCTTCAGGCATAATGTATCATGCTCTTGGTACAAGACACCACATACCAGAAGATGTTCTTGGCACAAGATGGCACATAACAAAAGATGTGTTTGGCACAAGATGCCATGTAACAAAAGATATGCTTGGCATAATACACCACATAGCAGAAGATGTTCTTGGCACAAGATGGCACATAACAAAAGATGTGTTTGGCACAAGATGCCATGTAACAAAAGATATGCTTGGCATAATATACCACATAGCAGAAGATGGGTTGTTGGCACAAGATGGCACATAACAAAAGATATTCTTGGCACAAGTTACCACTTAGCAGAACATGTGCTTGGCACAAGACACCAAGTAGCAGAGCATGTGCTTGGCACAAGACACCAAGTAGCAGAGCATGTGCTTGGCACAAGACACCAAGTAGCAGAGCATGTGCTTGGCACAAGACACCAAGTAGCAGAGCATGTGCTTGGCACAAGACACCAAGTAGCAGAGCATGTGTTTGGCACAAGACACAAAGTAGCAGAGCATATGCTTGGCACAAGACACAAAGTAGCAGAGCATATGCTTGGCACAAGACACAAAGTAGCAGAATATGTGCTTGGCACAAGTAACCACTAAGCAGAGCATTGCTTGGCACAAGACACCAAGTAGCAGAACAAAAGACATCATGCAGACTGAAATCGTTGCAGAAATTTTAAGAAAGTGTTCCACATCAGAAACTAGAATCTACAAATGTAACTTATCTAGAATTGGCCATGCATACTTGCATCAATATGACTTAAAATAGCACAAATAAATGCTTTGAAACATTGTGCATGACCAAACTTCTCGAAACAGGTTTTACATTGAAAAAATACATTGTAAAAGTATAAGAATGCATAAGCAGTATTAATAACCATGTATATGGTATAAAAGTAATATTTGTCTTGCTTAGAATATATAGGTAGGTCTGATTGTCTTTTATAGATTGTACAGGCAGTATTAATCATTGTACAAACCCACCTTTACTACTAATTATTTCAAGTCACAGGCAGTATTAATAGCTAGAATGGAACCAATAGGTAGTTCTAAATGTGTCAAATATGCAGTAATAATAGGTTGGCAAACAATGATTTATAAGCATAAGGAAGAATTTTATTGATAGTTGAACATTCTACATAGATTGACAGAATATTGGTCTGTCAAAACATGTAGTATGTTCCACCATCAATAAAATTCTTACTTATTATTGTAAATTGTTGTTTGCCTACCTGTTATTATATTAGCATAATATGCTTCCTTACTCAAATATACAATAGAATATACAGGTTGAGTACGGTATATTGATTTTGAATATGCAAATCAGCAAGTCACATGACAACAACTCATATAAAGATGCAATGGAATGACATGTAGCTGAACTACATTTTTATATTTTTTCAAATTTCTTAGGTAGTGTAATACTACCAAAAATTTATAGTTTTGGGGAAGGTTATGTAATGGCCATTTCCAAAGAAGAATATTCACACATGAGGGTCAGAAAGGTGTGTTCGGGTCAGTGATTTAGAATTTTCAAGACAGCGATATCCCTTGTACTTAATGACATTGGAAAACAAAAAAATATGGATAAATATAGAGTACCAGGATCATTCAAAAAGAGACCAACCAGTTGATTCCCTGCTGTGATAAATAGTGTGTGGCATCTTGTAGCAGTTGGAATTCACAAACACAAAGGTCAGAGGCAAAATATGCAACGTATGGGTTCAACAATGTAAGAATTCGAGTCATATATCCCATTAAACCATTGAATTGCTCAAATAGCTAGTCAAATGGGTATTCATGTATTTACATACAAAGACATATCAGTTAAGTCACTGGAGTGGCTCTACAGATTTCTGTATGATCAGACTAATAAAATGTATCAAGAAACTGGAATCCTCTTACATTAGATGGCTTATGGAAAGCAAGCAAGGAGGGAGGGTGGTGTGCTTTGGACATGAACACCTAACAGCAGAGCCTTTTGCAATAGAAACTGTGCTGTAGGTTTATTTTCTAGATGCATGCTTGTAAGATCAAGGATGACCAGATGTGACAACATGGGCTGTAATGTTATGTTGATGCTCCAAAATCCTTTTAATATAATGTACTCAACTTCCTATGCAGTACCAATTGTTTACTATTGTTATGTCTCCATTCGTTAATTGATTTCCCGTAAATTCGTTCCGACGAAACTTTAGCGACACAAGTCCTTACTTAATAAAACTGGTTTATTCTTTCCGAATATAACTTTACGATACACTTAATTTCAACAATCGCGCTAAAACAAACGCTATAACAACGAACGTGCTCATTAATACTCTCTGACTGCAGATCAATTACTCACTGTCTACACACACACATTATTCTGTCACGTTGTCACCCTCTTTTATATACCAGACTACCCTATATCTAGTAAATGCTAGAGCATTCGCGAAGGAACAAGATATTTCCAGAAAGCAGGTGGCGTGTCACTAGTCACGTGACCTCGCTGATGCAACACTATTGAAAATAATATAAAAAAAAAAAAGAAACTTATTTCTTATAGTTAGGTGATGAATTGTAATTTTGTGGCTGACCTGTGAAACACAAACACAGTGAGATTCAATGATGATGTATATTCAAATTTCCATATACTTTAATCATGATAATATCTTTTCAGTGATTGAACTTGTTCTATTTTAGTAATGCCATTTAGCTTCTTAATTTCATAATTTCAAGATGATTGTTTCTAAAGTGATAGATTGATAGGATGTATTTACATATTTTTTCTAAATAACTGTAATAATCACTGTTATAAGTATTTATCTTAAGTTTCAGTAAACTTTAATAAATTCTCAAAAAGCAAATAGCTCCAAATGTTTTTCTATAATTTCTTAATCTAGTGATTTTTGGTACATGATGAATAATAGATTTGTTAATGGTTACATAGTTACACATGGTTGGTGAAGGAGGAAACCGTGGGGCTATTTTAGAAATGACTCTAGCTAAGCTAAAATATGTAACTGGTAGGTACTTTTTATCTATAAACTTATTATAAAAAATGTGTGTAATATATAGTATGTCTGTTAATGTGGTGATACTTGTTAGAAATGTGTAGGTGTGATAAAACAATTGTTTGGTTATATTAGTAGTATGACTGTAATTTAATCTTCCATTAGACATTAATGTATGTATTGATTTTAAATTATTTTAGTCAGAAATAAGTGACTAAGTGACTAGACTAATCAATATAACCTTAAAATTAGCGTGACTGTAGAACAAATGAAAACTTTACTATCTTTGTTTTATCTTAAGGGTAAAGCAGGTTCTTGTGACTAAACTTATTATTGTCAAAACACTCTAAACAAAAATGTCCTCTCACTAACAGTATAAGTTGCAGGAATACAATACCATATTTATTGCAACCCAAAGTAAATACTTGGTACTGAAGGATCATCATGCCCATGTGTCTATGGAGTAGTAGGTCTACTTAACTTGCTTGTGGAGAACATGTACATGTGTATCATATGTCTATGAAGGAGTAGATTTACTTAACATTTGCTTTTGGAGTATTATGTTCATGTTTAATTTGTCAATAATAAAGTGGGTCTACTTAACTCTTGATCATTGAGTATCATCTCTCAATAGAAATGTCACTGTGTTGGAAGTGTATGTATTTGGGTTTCTTACACTTATGCTCATTGTGTATTTACCTCATAGTTAAGTATTCTTCGGGAGGTTCTTGCATGTTTGCTTGTTGTGTGGTTACTCATATTTTGGTTTTCTCACTAAGTTTTTACATGTATGCTTGTGGTATATATAGTATTGTCATAATTTTAACTGTGGATTTTATTCAGTTATGTTGTTAGATCTTTAGTTTCTATTAACCCTTTCGTGACAGGCTCAGTATAAAATACACATTCATATACACATTTACACACATTAAGTATTTATACTACAACTTTAAATGGTGTATGTGTATATTCACAAAATTTGATAGTAATAATTCCAAGTCTTTTGTACACAAAAAATCTGATTTTTTAATGAAGTATTTTTACTAAAGATTTGTTTGTGAAAATATCAAGTCTGTTTTGTTACTCATCTGAGTGCAAAGTGATATTCATGTCATGATTTAAAAAATATTCTTTGTTCCAAAAATCTAAAATATTCTTTGTGTAACCTCTAAAAACCTCCTAAATGCACTTCAAACTATTGTTTTCAGTAAAACTTTATATTTTGTCTGTTATTTTCTTTACCCTAACTATTCGGGGTCTGTCAATTTGACCAACCTCGTAACCACCATAAACAATT